TGACCAACAGGAGTTAAGAAGATCCGTCATTTCATTGACGAGGTGCTGTCCACCGTGCTTGAGCATTTCTGCCGACACCATGTCCAGACCTGGTACTTTGTCGTTCTTCAGGAGTCTAATCGCTACTGCAGTTTCTGCTGTAGTTATGGCATCTGTCCTCACATCCAAGTCATTGATGACATTGATTGGGCTGGGGGGGTCGAAGGTGAAGGTGCTTTCGTGGGGAGGGTGGTTCAGGGTCTCCTTGAAGTGTTCTACCCATTGGGAGGCTTGTTCTTGCTTGGTTAGCAGCAGCTTGCCATTTTTGTCTTTGTCAGGCGCTCCCTGACCACTCTTCGTGCCGGTGAGGTCACGGACAATGCGGTTAAGCAGGGGTCTCCAACTCCGGTCCTGGAGAGCTACTATCCAGTAGGTTTTCTGTCCCACTTGGCTTCTGATGAGCCACACTTGTTCCTGGTATTTACCTGAGAACAGGTGTGGCTCATCAGAAGCCAGGTAGGATAGAAAACCTACTGGACGGTAGCCCTCCAGGACCGGAGTTGGAGACCCCTGCGGTAAAGTGTCTTGGTATCGTTTCCCTCCACTGCTTCTTGTACTTAGCGGTGCTGCTTTTCCACTAGCGTAAAATCTTGTACCTACACTGAATGACAAATGACAAAAATCAAAATGCAAAGCAGGGTGTTTTGTATTGAATTTGAAAAACAGCTATAATATATTATAGGGCTAGTTGACGTGAGATATTAATACCAGTTGACATCACATGTTATGCATGAGCAATTCTTGCATCGCTAGTCAGCTAGGTTAAGATCAGGCTTTTTCTTGCCATCAGTTCTGTATGGACATTATAGTACAGGTAGTTTAAGTTTCACAAAAACATTTTTACTCTGTCATAGGAGAAAAAACAGCAAGTTCTGTAATTTTTCAAGATTATGTAGTATGTATAAGTATATGTTTAAAAATCAGTTAAAAGTTGACCTCCGCTACTTTAGCATGAGTGGTGCTTGCGTTCTCCGAGACTGTTTAAATCACTCCTAGACAGGTTGGTGAGAAATTTATGTTGAACTCCTTTTTTTGCTTTGTAAATACCCCAGTATTTATTACAACAATATAATGCCATGCTGTCCTAGTATATTATACAAAATACTTCATTTCTTTTCATGCCATCTGGATCTTATATCTGTTCTTCTAACCAGATCACAATTTTAGCTTGTGTCTTTCATTGGTCCATATCCATTATTATTACTTTTATTTAGTTATTTTTTTACTTTGTGTTTCTTTGTCTCACTCTGCAACTTTTTTCAAGGCGGCGTTTGTATTGTGCTTAGAGGCAGGCTATTTACATAACCAATCAACAAAGAATGTGTTTCAAGTCCCATACCAAAAAAAGTACTCCAGTTAGTTTGGCACTTTAGGTACTGGAAATTTTGGTACCGGAAGTCAATGGGAAAAGGGGAAAGTACCGTATCAAAAGTACGGAATCTTGTGTGGTGGAAAAGCACCCTTAGTATTCAATGAAGTCCAGATAAAGTATTTCAAAATACTGCACTCTGTCATGATTATATACCACTGATTGACAATAAAAAAAAAACTTGGATGGTTTTCACCTTATTTTTAATTTAATATTTCACTCTGAGTGTGGCACAGACCTTTAGCCAACAGGCCTTCATCAGTGTGCACAAAACACTCAGTGGCCACTCTGAGGTCCACCTGCTTGTTAATGCAGACTGCCTGCTCAGCACAGTGAGCCATGTGGCCGAAGAGGAATATATTCAGCATGCAAATGGTCAAAAGGTTCGGAGAGCATTAGAAAAACGTGGTGGTGCCAGTGTCTCGGAAAGAGTCACACTTCTGCGATTTTTACCTGCTGCGGTGTCTCGAGATTCCAGGGATTGGTGTAATAAAAGAATTAGGCTGCAGCACATTAATGAGAAAGGTCAAAGTAGAGTGATCAGACTTGTTAAAGCTAACAGGAAGGCTACAAGTGCAAAAATAACAGCTTAGTGCAGTGGTTTGCACCGAGGCATCTGCAGATATACAGCTTGTCAACCCTTGAAGTAGTTTTGGAGAAAAAAGGGTGTACTTACTAGTGTATGGTGGTAAGACAGGGCCTTTCTTGCTGTGTTATACAATACTTAATATTTTGTAAACAGACTGTGGTTTAAGAACAGAGGAAAATGGAGTAGTTGTATCATTTGAACTGAGTATGAGATGTGACTTTAGGGAAGAAACATTAACCCACATATGCTCTGTGTTTTAGCTATGTGCCGACCTCACAATTCTCTGGGCTAAATCTACCCTGCAACTTCCCCTGGGATACCAGCAGAGGGCAGACCGTCTGTTCACACACACGCTGCCACCCCAGGGCCTTGGCACAGTGAGCGGGAGAAGCATGGATTAGCAGCAGGGGCAGTATTCCATGTGTCTTGGGCATCAGTAATTATCAGCTGCATCTCTGGGAAGCTTTTGAGAGCGCTAAGCACCTTTAATGTAAATGCAAACTTTGACTAAGAAGAGCCGGAGGAATGTACTGAACGTAAAAGTCACGTGTAAGAGAAGTCGAATGGCTGAGCTTGCTGGCAGGGATGGCAATGACTGCCATGGTGAATAATCTGTAAACAAAGGACATTCTGGCACATTAACCTGGAATACACTTAAAAGCCCTTTAAGGTCACAGGCTGCCACTTCAGCAAGGTTGCTGATCGTCATCGGAGGAAACCGCCTACATTGACACTGGAAGGACCAAACTGAATTCTCACACCGTAAGGTCCATGGCACGTACACAACACGCAGTGCAAGCCTGTAGTTCCCTGGCAACCTAGTCTCTCTTGGTCCAATCGAAAATGGCATAACCTCTGTGTATTGTTCAACGGTGTGTAAAAATGTTAATGTTTACACAACAACTGAACAGACCTGGAGGCTTTTTCAGGGTACTTTTTTGGCCCGTAATTGGTGCCGAAAAAAGGTACCCATTTAGAATACTGCCTGAGGTGAAGCTTAAATGTTTGCAGACTAAACAAACTTCCTTAAAGAGTGTAGTTGTTTCAGTAGCAGGCAGCTGTGACTGGCTTAGTGGTCATTTGTGAGACATTAGTCAGATCCAGGCATTATTTAAATTTGAGGAATACAGTCATCATTGACAGAAAACGTCGTTGAGGGTCCCCTGTTAGAGATTCAAAATCCCCCTTACTCATTTTTTTTGTCAAAGGTAAAAAATGTAAATGTGGGCAAATTTCAAGTTGCAAAAGTGTGCCTTTAACCCATCTTTCAGCAGACACTGCTGTGACACGTGTTCAGTGCATTTTCTTTGGTCAAACTTAAAATTTTTAATTTAGGCAATTTCCAATTTATTCATTATGCAGATAAAGGAAATTTTCTTTTGTTTCAGGGGGCTTTCATGTCACTGTATATTGACAAAGACTGTAGGGGATACTTAAGACCCTTTAGTGGCTTTCTGTTCAGATGTGGAAGGCAAAAGCAGCTGGTGTTACGTGGTCTTTGGCCACGTGCCGGGATGGAGACACCAGCGGGGGACAGGTGCAGTGTAACAATATCGTTCCTGTTGATTGAGAGCTTCAGAGCTTGAAATTGACTTGTTTACCTGTGCGTTTGCACAGCCGCTTCACACTAAGCAGGTTATGGTCTGAGCACATGCAAGCCCGCCAGCACTTTTTGGTGGGAAAGCTATTTATAGATGTGGTATCTGGACTCTGGGAGCTGTTCCTTCTCATCTTTCAAACCCACTATTAGCTTTAAAAAACATCCAGAATAAAACTTAATATTGTAAAGTATTCATTTTTGTTTGTTTTAAAATCTTTGTCATCTGTAAGAAAATTTACTATAAAAATAGAAAGCAAAACATGCGTTATGTTTTTTTGTTTCTGATGAGCCACATTCACAATACTGTACCTGTCATAAAGGTGACATCACATGTTATGCATTTGATTTACTCAAATTCATTTGGCCATTTGTATTTTCTGTGGGTTTTTTATTTGTAGCTACATAGTCTGCTTGGTGTTTGCTTGTTTACTTGTTTCGTCTGTATTTTTCTGTCCATGCTACAGATGCATATTTGTTCACTGTGATGTTGGGCCACCCACAAGATGTGTCAACACTGGGGTGTCGGGGTGTCCTCTGGCAACTAAAAAAATGTTTTAAAATTCACGTAGGTAATAGCCTACAGATTTCAAGGCTGCGTTGGCTTTCTGTTCTGTTCTTACTTCCTGAAAACAATTAATCCTTAGTAAGATTCGTATTAAGCTTACGTTCACTAATATATATTTTTTTTCAAAATGTACTGCATGATTGTTAGCTTTACTGGTGGCTCTTATCACCACATACAGGTTGTCGGTATATAGAGAAAGCAGTTACAGCCATTCTTACACAAGTGTGATTCCGTTTGGGCCTTTCCAAGAGCTGGGCTGTTAGGAGGCAGCTGCATTGTATTGGTAATGCTGAAGTAATTACCTCTGGTGTTCCTCCCTGGGGAAGAGTGTATCGTTTTTACACTGCGCTTGCAGGCTAGCAGTCCTTCAGCTATTCTGAGGAAAGGTGCTCGGTCTTCATTAAAAAGTCACAAAGTAATGGGCCACATGCGTTCTTAACCCAGGTGTTATTTGTTGGTCTGCATCTCTCTAAGCCTCTTTTTGTGCTGTCAGAGGTTACGGTTTTCTGGTTTAACCACACTGCCGTTCCTGTCTGTTGAATACAGATGTTCATTTCTCTGTTTGGGAGGCTGATGTGGGCCTAGCAACCGGCTGTAAGGCTTTTTCGTATTCTATCACTTTGTATCAGTAATAGGAGTATTGCACCATCTGCTGGCTAAAAGAGGAACAGCAGCAGACACATTGAATACTTAGTATTTCCTTATCTAGTAACTTTAACAGTAGGTATTTTTTACTTATTTTGCCGACATACTGTGGTATATGTAAAATGTTAAAACATATGAACCTTCTGTGGGCCATGCAAATGGGAATGACACAGTATCCCTCCCTCTCTTGCAGTGAACGAAATCATCGGTCGAGACATGTCCCAGACTCCAGGCCTTGCAGCAGCGCACAGCCAGCCCTAAGCTGCCTGCTCTGGCTGGTCTTCCATCATGCACAGCTGGGATCCAGCTCTGTCCACCCTACACCAGCCCCCCCAGAGCTTCCAGTACCACAGCCCCTCACCATCAGACTGGGCTCCACAGCTGGATGGACGTGGATTGCGCAGATGGTGCAGGGTCTTTTGCTCATAAGTCACACCATCCAAGACCCAATTACATGCTCAGTAGACCAACAAGCAGCACTCATAGTGGCAGGTTTTTGAAGGTTGTTCAGTCATGACATGGCTGCAGGTGTAGACCATCTCACACCGAGTGTGCAGCTCACAGTGCAGCTTGCATGCCTGATTAATGTGCCTCCACAGTGCACATTGTAAAAACACGGCATTTGCTGTTTCTCCCAAGATGGATCGGGGCTCTTAAATTAGAGGGTGAAAGAGTCATGAATCTGTGGAGTGATACAGGAGCAAAGGACAGTACAATTGAATTTAGATGGTATCAGTTCATAAACACCCCTGCGTGGTGCTGCAGTGGAACATCAGTCTGTCCGTTCTAGTGAATTTCTTCTCTGGGGGTGGGTCAGCAACAGGGTTGAGGGCATGTTTTTGGCTCAATGGCCAATTAAATCACTCCTCCTGGGGTGGTCTGTGTGGGAGATGGTCCTACTGTGTGCCTGGGCAGAAACCAAGTAGCCTTGGGGTGAAGAGTGAGAAGCTTCCATGTTGAAGTTGTCATGGGGGTAGATAATATTCAACATTCCACACTTTGAGTGTTTTTTTTTTTTAAACTTTGTAGAAAATTGTACATTTTCCTCCACTTCAGCTTGCACAAATGCCTTACATTTTTTAGTTTTTAAAAATTAGAAGCTTTTATAATAGAACTGTTTTATATAGCTGATTTTTGAATTTAGTATTATATTTGTTAAAAATGGTATTTTAAAAAATGTAGACTTTGACTTGCTGAGTTGTTCAAATGCGTATGACTTCCCTTAGTAAAATGCTCCTCTGGCTACTGGTGCTCTGCACCACCTTCTTTTAGCGTGAATTAAAGGCAGAAATGACTGTTTAAATAGGAGACATTTAAATGCCAGCATGTGTTATTTAGCTGTCAGGAGTGTTATTTAACCATGCAATATTGTATCATGGTATGGAGACGTCCTGCAACAGAATTGGCTGGCTTCAAATGATACCTCACATTACCTGTATTTGGGGGACAGATAGGAGCCCCCTGTTCATCACTGTTAATTTAAATTTAAAATGGTTGAGAACAAAAGAGATTTATAAATAATTTGTTTTTCTACCAGAGGCTTTCTACCCTTTCTAAGGCGAGCTACCTGTAGAGGTCGTTATGTTGAGATTCCGCTGACTTGTGACCTGTGAAGCCACCTGGAAGTGCCTGTCTAGGTCCAGCGTCTGCTGCCATGCCAGCTAGACGTGACTGTCTAGGTCCAGCGTCTGCTGCCATGCCAGCTAGACGTGCCTGTCTAGGTCCAGCGTCTGCTGCCATGCCAGCTAGACGTGCCTGTCTAGGGCACATCAGTGTTTTTCAGCCCACAGACAGTCCTCATTTTTGCTTCCACCCAGCTTCCTGCCATCAGTCCATTTTTTTTGCCACCCATGTCCTGCAAAACGTGAACTGTCTGTGGGTCTCCAAGGACCGGATTGGGAAACGCAGCTTTAAGGGGGTCGAGATGCACCCCATGCAGAACAGCTGCTCCAGCATTTTCACTTTGCTGCCGTTCACTTTTCCACACTGTATCCCCCACAGTAGTAAGCTAGTAGTAAGCAAAAATTTAGATTACATTTTCAGCTTTCAATCTAGAATAAGACCATTATGTAATGGTTGTTTCAGGGTTATATACACAATTTGCAATTCCCAAAAAAGGCTAAATGTAGCACCAATATTGGCCTGTAATCCAAAGGTATAAAAGAAAAAAGCATTTTTGACTCATGAAGACACTCAGGTTTTCCATTGAGGAAACGTCAGGCAGGGGTTTCTAGGAGAATTATAAAAATGTATCTATGCAGGCCTGGATTTTCACCCTGCCTTAGCCTGTCCTTTTCACAATCAGTCATGTTTCTGTTCGCACATATATTTTTCTATTTAAAGACTATTTGAAATTTGGATAGGGAGTGTTCACATACTATAGTCATGCCCGAAAATTCTGCTATGCACTAAAAGCTGATCGATGCCTTTCTAAAGAATCCTGTTGCCTGTAGACGTAGAGAAACTTAAATGTAAAACCACAGGATGACTCAAGGTCCCACTCCCCCTGTATGTATCGTATGTGCGCTTCTGCATTGAAAAGAGTACAATGCAAAAGTCTTAATAGTTTCTTTTTTTTCATACCAATAAAGAATTGAATTCAGTGGATTAGACTATGCAAACACAACAGTGCAATGAGAAGATCCTCATCAGGTATTTGCATGTTCTTTAGATGTGTCCATTTTGCATTTTGTAGGAACATCAGCATGTTCTAAATATCCCCTAAATCTGATCTGCATCACAGTTAAACGTACCTAACAAATTTCCTACAAAAAACCTTGTGCTATGCACAAATTTTGAGTCACAGGCTTCTTTTTGCGGTCTTCTGTGGGATTCTTTGTGAAAATAGAAATCATGACCATTGACTGGAGGCCAGGATAGGAGCTATGGACTGAGAGAACGGTGATCCAAGCAGGCTCTTCCAAGCCCAGCATCTTCCCTTTCACCAAAGATTTGATGCTGGTTGGAGAATGGGATCCAGGCTGTATTTTTGATATTCTGTGATGAATGTCATTCGTGAAAATCAGGGGGTTTTAAAAACAGTTTTGTAAAATGAAAGGGAAATACAGGTCTAGCAGACGTTTACAGAGCCTTGTATTGTAATTTCATGTACATTTTTGTATTTTAAAATTTTGTAATTTTTAAGAATGCTGTGTGCTTTTGCAGCTCTTCAAAGGGAACCCCCTGCATCTTAGGCGTTTAGTGTATTAATAAAAAAATGTAAAACTGGTCTGCAGTCAGTGTTGTGCTACTGTTCCTCACAGGGAGGGGATGGATGGTGGCAGAAACCTGTAGAAGCATCCGCTCCCTCTGAGTGTTCAGTTTTTTTTTGTTTTTTTTTTTAAAAAGCTTTATTTTGCATTTCCAAAGCTAGATGGTATTGTTAGCATCTAATCAACCTCAAATTGAGCTTCTATAAACATTTTGATCACAACTAAACTGAGTGTACCCCAGTCATTCCAGCTGCTGAAATCTATCATACTCAGGTTATCCTTCATTTAACAGGATGTATGATGTAACTAGTCCTTGTGTCAAGGACCAGTGAGCGTTCTGCGGCATGTTCCAGGTCTAGAGTGTTTTTTCCCCTCAAGTCCAAGTCAATCGTTTTGAATGTTGCAGAAATTTAATTTGCATAGTGTCACAGTATGTCATTAAACCTTATTGCAAAATTGAATTTGTCTCCCCACAGGAACGGATTTATACAAATTTGACTTCCATTCAACCCAAACTTTTGCATTCTTGAAGCAGTTTGTGGTACGTACTCAATATTTATGGAATCAGCCCTACTTAACAGAGCAGGTTTAGCATCAGAAGATTAGTCTGAAGCTGGTCATTAAATGGAACTGAGAAAGGGAGGGAGCTGGGAGTTGACTGCAGTTGCTGTCGTGCATAAAGCAAGATTTTTGGCATCATAAGTTTATTGTTCACAGACAGACATATACAGAATTTCTAAATTCATACAAGTTTTGAACTTTCTTAAAAAGAAAACTTCTCACACTTTGTTCTTCTGGTATTGCACTCATCAAGGCAAAGAGACTTTCAGCAAAAGACTAGTCATTAAAAGAAAAACATGTAGCTTATATCAACATACACATAGGAGAAAATGTACAGCATGCAAGAGTACAGAAGTTCAACAGGGAAGCTTCAAATAAATCAGTGTAAACACTGTCTGCAGATGAAGTAAACATTAAAACAGTCTAAATCATACAAAGGAGAAGTTCACTTTAACCTATACGAGAACCTGGTCTATGGAGACCTTAGATCACCCTTTCCATAATGGCTACAAGGAGAAATAAAGTTCATCATACTGTACATCTCATACAATTCAACCATTGTTGCCCCCCCCCCACCCTCAAATAAAAACAAAAACCATGACAAAACTGAGCACTTCACATGCAAAAACAGCCCAAGACATTTTCTTCCTTACATAAATGACCTAAAGTAAAACTACTTATTTGCTGTGTCTGATCAGTTGTCAGTCTCCTATGGTTGGAAGCTGCAGTGCCAAGTAGCTACATTTTCCCCAGAGCCCTTGTGGTAGAGGACATGCCCTCACCTAACAATTTTTTTAAACAAGTAACCAAAGGCACTATGGGATTTAAATTCAGTGGCATGACTTGTGGAGCACAATTCTTTTGGCTGATGAAGGTGGCAGTTTTGGGCAGAGTGTGTCACACACAAATACAAAGTGGGGTGGGGGGTGGGGGGGGGGCAGTAAGGGGTGAGTGTATACTGATTCATCTCCGTCTCCTCTGGGGGCAGGTGAGAGAGATGACAGGCGGGGTCCTTTGGCAGGTACAGTCAGTCACAACATGCCAGGCGTATGGGGTGGCCGGAGAGGGACTGGTTGGCACGCTCAGCCACGGCCCGCCTTGCCGCCTCCGCGCTGGGGAAGGTCACGAGCGCCTCACCGCTGCGCTGCCCGCTCAGGCCGTACAGCACCAGGACAGCGTCTGGCTGCAGCTGTGGGCATAAAGAAGGCACCTGATGCTTAGCACCCTCATCCAACCACTGCGACAGAAACAGCGAGACCATCCAGCTACTAAACTACTGGTTTCAAAGTTTAAAATTGGCAGCAATGAGTGTGGTGACCACCACACACTATTCTATGGAAGCTGGAAAGGGCTCCGGCGGATTGAGCCTACTTTGCATTGCAGCCTGAGAAAAAAAAAAGAATGTTTAACAGAGATTCAGACTTGAGGGTGGATTATGAAATCAGAAATTTCTTTGTCTGGTGAATACTGCTAATGATCGTTGAAACCCAAACATCCTAAAAATACTGCACCTAGAAAGGGGGGGATAAAGCAGTTTTAGATTCTGGAAGTCAGTTAATCTTGTAGCTACAAAGATGTACCCATGCAGAGTAAAAGTTGGAGAACTTTAAGCAAGTAAGACAAGCAGATATTCAAACGGCAAGCAGAATGGGTAGTAGGGGCCAGAATTCAGAGAGAGGTCCAGTTAAAAGCTGCGTCCCATTTCATAATCATACATCTACAATTCCAGACAGGTCCCAGAACTTTGGGTTAGGTCTGCAATCGTAGATGTCACCATTTGGACAAGACGTATACAGCACAGACGTCCACGTAACTAGCAGGAGGTCCCCTTCATGCAAATAAGCACCCAAAGAGGAAAACAGACTCCCCAGAATAATAAAAGGGAACCCGAATGATTTGGATGCAGAGGCAATTTTAGAAGAGCCTCACCCACACGCCTGTGGGGCCATGCAGGGTCTTACCTTGGGGGGGGGGGATGTGGGAGGGGCTGGTTAGAGACACAGCCACTCTTTGGGGGGGGCCAGGGCCCTTGCCTGATCGCTCAGCTGTAGCACAGGGCTGTAGTCTTCAGGGGCATACTACAGCACAACGACGACAGTCAGCCATGGGGTCTGCACACGCTGACAGTTTCCACACACACACCCACCCACTTCCCAGACAGTACATGTGAGCATACTTGCCAACTGCATTGTCCATGTCTGACAGGTGCAGACGCACACCCCCCCCACTGCACACTAAACTACACCACCAACTGTGCTAAGACCCCACCGGTAAAGCGGTCGATAGGATGCACTCCTCAAAAAGCGGCTCAGCCTGACAGGTGCTTTGGGACGCCGTCAATCCCAAAGCACTAATCGCGTCGGCACAAGCATCACCCACAGGAGGGGCCCCCCGTTTGCGGCGATGTGCCTCGTTGGCTTCACACACGTGACCGACAGATGGGCGCCCTTGGGTACCGCCGTTATCATGGAGTCAGCAGCAAAACAGCTGCCGACATCCAGATAGAAAAAGAGGCAACAGAGACCCGGCACCACAGGTCAACACGCAGCCCCTCCAGCCAATCAGAGTCTACCTCCCTCATCCCTGACAGCGTGTTAGATATCATACCATCCACTGCAGACTCCGCCTACACGACGTCAGCCAGTTACGGGGGGGGGGGGGGGGACATAGGGGAGGGAGGATACACGTTTGAAGGATCAATTCCTGCATTGAGCAAAGTTCATTCCCCAAGAAAATACTACTGTTGCAAATGCACATACGTATATGTATACGTACACAGAACATGATTTCAGTAGAATGACCAAGTAAACTAGTTCCCATCCGACCCCACAAACAGTCCCTTCAGTAGGCAGAAAAACAGCAGGTGCCTCATCTATTCCAAGCCCCCAACAGGGTGCTCATAACCTGCCTTTCACATTGCTTGGGGCACTAGCATATGTTAATTGAAACATAATCAATTATTCATAAAATCGCTGAAACAGCAGAGATCTACTGTTTAGTTTGCGGCAACTTCAAATAGAGGCGCCAGTCATACAAGTCATTCTGTCATCCCTGTTTCCTAGGTAACAGTGCTACTGTACATGCGACAGCAAGACAGAGTTAGAAACAAATACAATTGCAGTTGGGGCCTAGTGCTCCAATAGTACTTTAACCTTTAAGCTCTACATTTTAAGACAGGGGTCTCCAACTCCAGTCCTGGACAGCTACTATCCAGCGGGTCTTCTATTCTGCCTGGTTCTGCTGAGTGACACCAGTTCCTGGTATTTACCTGAGAACATGTGTGGCTCATCAGAAACCAGGAAGCTCGCCAGGAACGGAGTTGGAGACCCCTGTGTTAAGGCAATCAACCTGATGCATCTCAGTGGGCATCATTATCATCCAAAACTTGTACTGAGGCTCCCAGGCAGAGAGCATCTGCAGGACTGGGAATCACAGGACCACTCAGGGGCTGTTTGGTAGCTGCAGTGAGCAGGTACTGACCTGGTAGCCTTGGAAGAAGCTAAGGATTTCCTTGACTCCTGTGTTGTAGGGCAGACCCTGCATCCTGACCAGTGCCCCGCCCGGCTGGGACAGGACGGGAGCCGGGGCCTGGGTTGCCACAGCTGCTGCCAGGGCCCCCGGGGGGGCCGCAAAATAACCAACTGTGGAGGGTGAGACTGGGGGGCTGGAGAAGCACACAGACACACACACAGGAACATGGAGTTTAGCCCCAGACACACAGAGGCACCAGACAGTGTGGAGCAGCCAACAGCATTTCCTGCACCAGCTGGGGTGAATCTCCCAAAAACCTGCATAATCAGACCCATTCAGCTGCATGGTTCCAACTATGCAAGTTGCCAACATAGTTTGCAATCATGCTTTTGGGAAAAACATCCCAGCACGGCGAACCTCAAACCGACCACAGCCGTAACGTCCGTGGCCGTTCTTCAGAGAGCCCTCTGCTCTCCAGCCAACCTGGGTCATGCTAGATGTCCGGGGGTGGGGGCGGGGGGCTTACCTGGGGTAGTAGGCTGTGTAGTTCATGTTCATGTTCATATAAAGCTGGGCATGGTGCTGTGGGGAGTAATAGGCCAAAGCCGGGGTGCTGGCAGGTGTCGGGGGCGGCGCGGCTCGCGGCGCGGCCAGCAGCGGAGGCTGGTACAGAGCCGCCTCTGTAGCGGGCAGCAAGGCGGCAGCAGTGGCAGGGAACGCGGCATAGGTGGGAGGGGACAGGCCTAGGTACAAGGGGGGGGGCACCAAGGCCAAGTCAGAATGCCATCATTTGGGGGACAAGCACCTATTGCACTTTACAGCACTGGAGTTAAGCCAGAATGTTCAATAAATCAATTAAAATCAGCCGTGCAAATCTGATGCTCAGGTCTTTTGTGTCACCCTACCGGCTTTAAGCTAGCGGGATGTGTCGACACAAACAGGCTCCGTGGGGGACACTTTGACAATGCCAGGATGACCTTACAGAGGTCTAGTGACTCATCTGACTGACTGAGCCAGGTGTGTTCAGCTGGGGGAGGGGAGGGGGGGGGGGGGTTTATACAACAACCTGCTCCGTCTCCTACTGAGGCTAATGTGTGGTTACACTGAAGGCTGAAAGCTTGATGAAATGTCAGGGGCACCAGTTAGAGAGTCACAGCCAATCTGTATTTTTTTTTCTTTCATGAGTGTTCCAGGAGGTACTCTGCTGCTTTTTAGAAATGTGGTATAATCAACAACCCAAGCAGGTGGGGGACTAATAGCTAATGAACAGAGCACAACAGCCCGCACAGAACACAGATGCAAACAGCTTGTACCTGAAACACTCAAAGTACCATAAACCAGGATATTTATATAATGAAGGTCAGAGGAGCAGAAGAAACTAGCATGTCCTAAGGAACCATCGAAGGTCACAGACTTGAAAAGGGGACAGATGCTCTTTATTCTGTAGGTTTCACCTGCCTCAGCTGTCATGGTGCTCCAATTCTGTATGAATCAAACAGTTTCCCTTAAACACTGCATTTTCTAAAGACTAGAAAATCTATAGAATGAAGGCCTGGGGTCCAATTCACTCCTGTACAGTGAGATACTGGTCCAGAGGAATAAGGAGGAGTTGAACATACAGGGTAGTTTGCAGGGGGGCGGTGACAGGCCACTGCGGTTCAGGGTTCCCCCCATCAGCACGAAGCTCATCTCCTCGGCGGAGCACTGGAACACCTCCACATAGCGGTCCTTCATCATCTTCTTGTGGCACTTCTGTGCTACCATGAAGGCTCGGTCTGCTGCCTTCATCTGGATGAAGGCGTCTCCAGAGGGGCGCCCCTGTTGGGGGGTGGATTTCGTTGTATTAATCACACAAGAGGAAGGACTGCATTTGCCCTGCGATTAAACCAGGGTCCTGGAGAGACACATGATACAGAGCAGCCCAGGGTGGGCACTGCTGCAGGAAACTGTACTACGTTCCTCCTGAAGCATTGATTGTTTTCTGGGGTCTTTCCATGCATGTGCCGCTGTAATGTTTAGAAGTGCAGTTAGACAGTTGACACAAGATTCTTCTGAAGTGACGTCTTACCAGTTAAACTTCATCGTGGGATAAAAGCACAAGCTGAACAGAGAATCTGAAGAGTGTCAGTTACTGGGCCTGAGAATCAGGCATCAGGGGTAATTTTAAGTGAGCGATTCTCCAATATCTTGAGAGTCAGTCACCTGCTGGTTGAGCACCATATGCACCCCGTGTGGCTTGATATCCACAGTGTGTTCAGCCATGAACTCCAGGATGTCCTCGATGGTGGCGGAATACGGCAGACCCCTGAGCCGCACACAGTCCCGCGTGCTGCTCGCGGGCAGGAAGGGGGGCGTGGCCAGCACCGGCACCGGCACCATGGGCGGCGGCAGCGTGGATATCAGCGGTGCAGAAACGTAGCGGTTCAGGACCTGAAACAGCAGCGCCAGTCAGGGAAGCAGCTCTGTACTGGTGAAGCGAGACACTACAGGACTATAATGTTGGGAAAAGTGATGCTTGGGTTTACTGAAAGCTGACTTAAGGCAGCCAAGTGAGAGAATCACACTCTGATGAAACTGATTTAGAGTCAATTGTAGATTTCCAAAGGACTGAATTAGACACATCAACTCAAATGCAATGTAACCTCAGTATACTTTCTGGTAGATTGGTGCATATCATCAATATTTAGAGCACTCGCTCTAGCCTCAAGATCTTCAACAGTCTCAGCGATTTCATGACGTCAATCGCATTGTATTAAATTGCATGCAACCACTCTGAACTGCAGTACAGTCAAACGCGTGCTAGTCACATGATCCAGTTCCCATGGCGTGTCACTGGCTGGACCCCGTACCTGCTGCACTTCGGCTGCCGTGCTTCTGAACAGCTCGATGTACCTCTTGCCCAAGATGTGCTTGTGCTTCTTCAGGGCATTCTGGGCGTACTCCTCACAGGCGAAAAGCACGAAAGCGTCCCCCGTGGGCCGGCCGTCGGGGTACCGGACGAACAGCAGCCCCTCGTCGCCGTCCGTCACGGGGCTGTCTGGCCCCAGGAAACCCAACACATCCTCGGGCGTGGCCGTGAAGGGGAGCCCCCGCATGCGGATTATCACCTGGTTCTCTTTGGACAGGAACTGGGCCACCTCATTGGAAGTCCCTGGAACAAATAAAATATGCGGGTCAGAGTCAAAATGAGGAATGACCTTTCGAAACTAATGACCATCTGCATTCAGTACGATGAGGCCTGCCGTAATAGAGGGCAGACTGATGACCATCGTAACCGTCAAAACAAACAGACCTTCTATAATGGAGTGTTTTTCTGGAGTTTCTTTAGAAAAAGGAAGTGTGCTGTCCCAGCCATACACAGACAGCAGGGAGCTCTTGACAGCGCAGTACTGGGTAATGGCTGAACGGGCGTTTGACACGCTTGACAGACCACTGGGGTAAACGTGTGCCACGTGCCTTTTGTTGCCGGCCGTCCATTCACCACCCTCTATTACTGGCTAAATTCACTGTGACCAACAGGGGCTTGTCACAGACAGTAAAGTCATTGTTCTGGGAAAGGGGGGGGGGGGGGGATAATGGATTCCTCGAGTACCTGCTGCAGGTTTGTGTGGGGATGGTCTCTTACAAAAGAACCATTCACTTCCCTTAAGATGCACTGAAGGAGGCAGGATCAGCTGCAGAACCATAAAGCTGAAATGAGGCCTGTCTATTTGGAGCCTACAGGCCATCTCATTGGGGGGTGGGGGGGGGGGGGGGGGGTTAAAAAAAAGAAAAAAGGAACCTAACCTCCAGCAATCTTCAAGAATTCCTCTCCAGTCGCCTTGTATACCTGTAATAATACACATTATTCCATGCACCAGGATGAGATATTGGATGCCATCTGTGCCCAAGCGATCCTCTCCCACTTATTTACTGTAAACTCACTAACTAGATCACTTTCAGGCAGCAAACAGCATTTATAATATTGCACTGGAACCCAAACGTCCAACATCTCCAATAACAAGTCTTGAGCTGAATGCTTAACCCAAGTCAGAGATGGTCAATCTTAACCAGAAAGGGCCATTGTGTGTATGGGTTTTCACTGCAACTCCCTAATTAGATTACTAATTAGAGGACTGATTGGCTGAAGACTCCTCACACCTGGGTTTGAACAGCAGACCTAAAGGTCACCCCAAAAACCTGCATACACACTCGCCCTTTGAGGATAAGATTAGCCACCCCTGAGCTAAGCTCTTCCAGTTAAGCGGGAAGAAACTGAAAGTTTATTGTATACAGCATTGACATGTAACTACTTACTGTAAAATGATTCCCATCAAATGTCATCTTTAAAACTAAGACATTACTAATCTATTGAGTACTATGACAGAATGAAGAATGCTGGTGGTTTTCCAGAGTGTCTGCCCAGTTGCATAGGGACTAAAGGCAGGCTGGACATCCTCAAGAGGCTCACCTCGATATAGCGGCTGCCCATGTGGTGTTTGTGGCGCTCCAGCGCTAAATCTCTGTGCTCGGGGCTAACAAAACGCACCAGTGCTTCCCCGTTCCTCCGACCCTGAGCATTCAGGCACAGGGCCACGCCACCCCTGGCAGAGACACACAAACACATGGGTTTGTTCCAAATAAGACTTATGGAGTCTGACTTAGGGAGGACCCAAAACCATACAGCGAGAATACGGGTTTAATGATCTGTCGAGAATCTCTGAGAAAGGCTGATGCATAGTGCATTTAGCCCGTAATGTACAAAAGCAGTGTTCAGTCAGAACATACAGTTTGGTTCTGGTGTGTACCGGTCCCAGCTTTCCTCCTACTCTTACTTGGCGATGTTGAGGCCTTTGAAGAAGCGTGCTATATCCTGGTCAGAAGATTGCCATGGAAGACCCCGGGCCCTGATCACTGTCTCGTTGTCCACCGCTTCCGTCTTACTGCTGTGGAGGAACAGACTGGGATATGACTGACATTGCTCTACTGGTGGTTGTGGGAGATTGTTAGGGTTCCACTCAAGCAGCAAAACTGGCAGTTGGTTTCCAAGGGAGCAAACTGAGGAAGTGTGAGTTTTCTGCTGTGATGCTTTCAGTCAGCAAAACACTACAACGCAGCAATTTCCGTTACAGAAAGCGCTGAAGTGATTTCCAAGAACTCAGCCGGCTTAGAATTAACATGCCTGCAGCATAATTCAGGAATGGATCCACCGATAAGAATGTAAAATTTTGCAAAATATTTGATAGTTAAATTTCTCACTCAAAAACTTGTCAGATTAAAGCAGGGAAAAATACATAAGGCTATACTATGATAGGTTTTGGCAACCAAAACATCGTTTTACCTTATGTGAAATCATAAAGCTGGCAGTTCAGATTAAGATTTCCCCAAAACCATCCTAGTGGAGAGACATGCTACAGAACTGTCCACAACGTATGTCACAGAGGCTTACCATGCTCCAGATTCAAACTTGTAATTGACCATTAGGAAGCTGGTGAATTTGCAATCTGCAAAATAAATAAAATACAGAGTTTGGACTAAACTTGTGAAGAACAGATTTCACCCCGACATACCCTCCTGGCACGAACACGCAGTATGCAGTTCTGCTTCAGGAAGAGGCAGCTCTAGCCATTGGGGGGTGGGGTTGACTTACTGTAGGGGTCAGACAGAAGGTGTAGGATGATGACCACCATTTTCTTCACTTCACAAACCCCGACCGTCTGTTCTGCCAGGGAGGGGCTGCCCATATCTATATGGGGGAGGTTAAGGCTGCTAACATGGGGCAGAGACAGCAAAGGAGGACAGGGACAGGCATGTGTGTACAGTGCCACATTACACTGCGTCTTGGGGGATACACTGCAGCATGGAGTCCAGTGTCAGGTCCTTCACTGGGCCGGCGTTGGGGCAGCATTTGTTGAACTCGCTCCTCAGGTCCACAAAGGAGTAGAAACAGTCTGGCAAGGCCAGGTTCTGGAGCACAGGGGGACCAATTCAACATAACACTCAAACGTACCTGCAGAGTCATGACTGGTGAGTATCTCACTTTCAGACACTCAGCTATCAAGCCTCTCCATTTAGTCCCAGAGAGCCACAATGTAATTGGTTACATTCCACTAGAGTAATTAAGCATCTAGACCAAGTTTGTCCAATTCCGGTCCTGGAGGGCCAGATTGCAGATTTCCCTGCTCAGACACACTCATGGCCCCCAGTAATTAGTTTGAACAAGGAAATCTGCAAATCCTGTTGGGTTCTGGCCTTCTAGGACCAAAAGTAGGGAAACCTAGACTAATTAAATTAATGGCCAGACTACACTTAACTTACACTAAACATGCACACAATCTAAATGAACCAAGCTATTTCCAATGGCATACAGAATTAGCCAGAATGGTAAGCTATTTGTGGAATCAATTTAATGCATCACAGCCACCAGGTAAAAAGGGAGAATCACTGCACCTCAGCAGGCCAAGCAGTGCCTTACCTTCTTGGAGGATTCAGGGTGCAGGGCTTGCCTGATGATCAGGGGCCCAGTGACACAGAGCGTGTATGAGCTCCTGCCTAGGGCTTTGAGCTCGCTGGAGACATATTGTTGGAACTGCAGCACAGAACCAGGAAGGGTGGGGTGGGGAGATGAGAGCGTCACTTTCCATTCAAGTTTTTCAAGGAGGCAAAAGGTTATTTTGTTCTTTAAAAGCTGAACATAAACAGTCACTGGCTCAGAATATATAGCTACTGCAACCACTGGAGGAAGCCATCAGTGCGGAAAAAAGTAAAATCAGAACTGAAAGCCAAACGAACATTAAATAATAATCATTCAGAAGATCATCTGAAAATGTTTGTGTGGGGTGGGAGAACCGGTCTGACAGGTTCTCTGTTTGTGCAGGACGCAGCAATGACTTTTAGTAGCAGTGAGTCAGAAGAGCGGAACTAAAGCTAGCAGAGCTGGCCTTCACCAAACTGCACAAAGGATTTCAGGATATGAGACTAGGCCCAGATGTTGACCTGCAAGCCACAGCGATGGAGCTCTCAGAGAGCACCTTATTGAGCAGAAAAGCAACAAGAGCCAGGGGCATATACTCTATAGAACAGCTCTGAAGCAGTCAGAAACTAACAGCTCTGGAAACCATCATTGCCATATCTAACCTCACCGTTGTCCACCAGCTGATTCACTAGACACAAGTACATACTTCTCGCCCTACGGCTCAGTATAGAAATGGATTTACCCAGTTTGAACTTTTCAATGTTCCATATCAAACATACTTCTACTTTGCTTCTTATGAAATGGCCTTTGAAATAATGTAATTATTCATAAAATACATTTTTCACTAGGTTGCATAAGGTGCCCATTGGATTTCAGGGACCTAGGAAAAAGCAAGGAAGCCTTTGGGAACGAAACTATAAATCAGGGCCCCCGGCCCGGTTTGCCGTAGCCACTCAGAATGATGCTTGCTGCAGGTCAGAACGTGCCAAGAGACGAGAAACTCAAAGCTATTAAACAAAATTCATCCCCCTCACTCAAAAGTATTTTTTTAAACTTCTCTTTACCTTAAAGCAAGTGAACGCATGTATGCTTTTAGAAATGAAGGATGTTAGTGAAAAAAAGAGACAAAACCTCCATTAAAGCCATACAGACCATTTAAACTACATAAACCCAAAATAGAAAACTGCTTAAGCCGATATGAAAGTTTGACAGAGAGTGCTGGACGGCCTGGGGGATATCAAACCTACCCAGTGCCAAAGCAACTCCGCAAATCAATATGGATGACAAGGTCTGCTAAAGCGACCATAAAACAAGGCTGCATTTAAGCACACGGCCTCATTAATCCACCTCCCATGCTGACGGTAACAACGCGAGGAAAACATCTAGTATCTGGGATGGACGTGTGCCATTTAAGCATCTCTCTGAAGGAGCATTAACCCAAAGCCAGGGTTGATGCTGTAAAGCCCTTCTTAGAGCTGGAAACTAGACCTTCACTCACCAAACCAAACCAACCAGCAAGATGTGTCACTTGTGCACATCACATACAGCAATGAATGTCATGTCCTTCAACATCCAAGGACAAGCAGGAAGCAATCTTTAAACAGAATGCTCGTTCCTGACTAGCCATTTACGGGACAGGTCTCCGACATAGGAATAGATATATGGTATAGATGAAGTAGGATAGGTCTCCGACATAGAAAGCAGTGGTATAGATGAAGTAGACAAGGAATTCAAAAGCAAATGCAATTTATACGGGCAATATGGGGTCTGATTAAAAGCAGCACGTGCGGCACATCCCTCCATAATGAGCCCAGGCGTTTCAGATGTTCTGTCAACTGGTTCTCAGTGAGGACAAAGTGCACAATGCTGACAGGCTCCGCTTTCCTGGCCGATAACGTGGAGTCCAGCATGTCCATGTGCAGCCTGGGCAGCGGATGATTGCATGGTGGGAGTGGCTGTGACCTTCAGCCCTGGTGCCATTGATTGCTATTCCTGGAGGGGCCTGTTTGCTCTGTGGGACAGCTGATGTGTTTGCACTGGGTCACAGGCACGCCCGGCACAGATAAAGAGAGCCGGAACCACAGCCGGCATGACAAGCCTCCCTGAGGCAGAAGGAGGAACAGAGACTCTGGTCACACCCTTAAGCACCCACTGTGGCTGGGCTTTGGTACAGCTGGTTTGGGTGGGCTGGTTCAAAAGCCCCACCCAGTTTAGCTTAAATTGTTCCACCCTATTCCCACAAACACTGTGGCAGCAGGAAGGGACCGGCAAGTTAATAGTAACAATCGGATTGCATTTAACAGGGTGTCAGAATTATTTGATTACTGCTGTTACGCCAGCAAAAGCAGCAGCAGCAGTGCGATGGGGGACTCGTCTCAGCCTTCGTGAGAACACAAATTAGAGTTAAGGCAGATTTTACATAACATGCAAAGCCCAGGGGAAAACGCCCAAAACGACAACATCAAAGCTGCACTTTTTTTTTCCTTTTTAAAAACTTAGTCATTGCCAAAATTCTGCGCTTGCCTACTGGTTTATAGGTACTGTAACTTTCGTAACAGGTTGAAAAACAATTTCATGTCTGGAGTCATTTCATTACTTCCTCCTTGTTAAAGAGGGCGAGCGAACACAAGCCAAACGACATCAGTCCTGCTCTGGGAAATTCACAGCAGGATTACGGCTGAAACTGCTACGGTTTCAACGGCTGCACCAGTAAACCTACACTGCTAACCACCCAATGCACAGGCTGAAAATCAAGTTAAGTCAAGTCAGGCTTTGTTATTCTAGCATGTACAGTAGACAATGAAAAAATAATGTTCCTCCTGAACCTATGGGGCATCATTCATGACAGCAGAGACATTACAATGCCAAAGACGATTTACACAGTACAAAAGATTCCTGTATGACTATCAATCATTTATGGGGAGAGGGAAGACTACTGCCTATATTTCCTACCTAACAACAAACACTCTACATTAGACAAATCAACAGGCATACTACCTAACACTAGGAATCCAGTGCATGGAAGTACTGTCCATCCTTAGTTATGCCAGAGGTCTGGCTCATGAGATGATTCAGTTCAGGGACCACATGGGGGTCATTTTTTTTAAACTGGAGAAAAGAATACACAGCGGAACCAGGGAGGACAGAAAGTTAAATTTGAGGGCTTGTGTCATCTTCAGGGTGACTGGGACACCATAGTATCACTGCTAAGGCTGGCAGCCACATAACCTACACCACAGCCTAACGCCTGTAGATAAATTTCTAGAAAGGTGTATGTCTGGTCACACCATTGGGTATGCAGCTACATACAATGTAGATTGGGGGGGGGGGGGGCAGCCACAAGGGGCACCGCACCACCACCAATCAGCATTTGCACATGCACATACGTGTCAGAAGATTCCAGATGTAAACGCTTTCAAAGATATTCAAACTAGAAACAATGAATACTGCATCTGTCAGAAACCTAAAAAGTGTCAAACCACTTTCAAGAGTGACAGGAATAGAGCAGGGGTGTCAAACTCCAGTCCTGGGGGGCCGGAGCCCTGTGTAGCTTAGTTTTTTCCCTGTTCCACCACAAATGATTCAGCTCAAGAGCTGCGTGGTAATTAGCACAAGGAGTTGAATCAGGTGTGTTAAATGAGGGGAAACCCAAAAATGTGCAGGGCTCCGGCCCCCCAGGACTGGAGTTTGACACCCGTGAAATAGAGGAGGCAATGCAACAGACAGTCTAAGGAGCCCAGACATTCTACTGTAAGGAGAAAATGCAGAAAGCAAAACTACTTGCTTCGACACACAGACCCACAGTCAGCCTGAGAGGGACTTTCTGCAGGACACACACACACACTCACACTCTACCAGTGAGGACAGCACTCACTAATTCGTCATCAGAACCACAAGTGGGTGACAGGGAACTAAAACCATTCAGCCTTAAAACTGGACTCCTGTCACAAAGACTAAACGCATGTGGTCCAGCAGGTTCTCCCTCCTGCTGGTGCTGCGATTAACAGCAGGGTGTGTTCACAGGTAAACATTCCGTCTTCCAGATGTCTACCAGGCACATCAGCCTGGGACAAGACTGGACCTGCTGGTACAGCAGCTCTCCCTTCCACCCACCACAGGGCTGACTATCCTCTCTAGCTGGGGTTAAGGCTGAACTACCTTCTAGTAGGCTGACAATTGACTATTCAAGTGGACAATTCACAACTTGCGGCCAGGAGTCACCGTCAAGATTACCAGAAAAAGGAAACTGGGAAGGACAGGACTGAAGTGTTATTCAAGTAAAAGTTTTGTAATACGTCCCCACTGCATGTCTACGTAATAGCTTTTTACTGCTAATCTTCAGTAGCTCTTTAAGAGCACATATTACAGAATGACATCAATCAGGCTCAGCGTTTGGCTCAGGCAGCGAGTTCACATGCATGCAGCAACACAACCAAAAATGAAACCGGCATGTCAAATCTGTAAGTGAGAGGGGGGTCAGCTGTGGCCTTGCACCAGTAGGATTCCTCTATATGCTGAGGCTTAAGAGCAGATTATTTCCCCCCACATCCCCATATGACGGATACCCAGCAAAGGCCACAACCGCAGAAAACGCAGCTCACCTGCTGCAGAGTCCTGTCCAAAGGCTCGGCTTTGCACAGCTCCTCCAAAGTTATCCCCGTCTCCTCCTTGCATTGTTCCGTCAACTCCAACGTGTCGGGCTTTACAAAGCGCCGCTGCAGCTTACCCACCTGTTAACAAAACGCCCCCAGTTCAGGTCGTGCGTCTCCAACAGCCCCCCTCTTCCACGCAGCGTGTCCGGGGAAGGGAAATTAAACCCTATGCAGTTTGGGTGAGCTCAAATATAGATATTCATACAGGAATCTCCTGTACAAAATACCTGTCTTTGCAAACAGGCGCACCTTATACTAATAAGCTCAGCAATTGCAAAGCAGTTTATTGTAAACGCAAGGTTGTTAACCTCATGGTGTGATAAGCCCCTGACGCTATCAAAGAGGTACGCTTTCGTTAAGGTACTCAGGCTGAAGGGTTCAAACGTACCCTACCCCGATATGGCTATAAAGTACAATAAATTGAGGTATAGCTAGTACGTCAAACAATTTTTTTTAATGTATTTTACAATTTAAGGCGGCGTGAATGACTTTCTGAAAGGGTACCTCGTTGAGTGATCAGCTGTCAAGCACAAACCCGACGAGTATTAACTTCACTAACTACATTTGCACACGTACTAGTTGCAGAGCCTTATTCGAGTCAGAAGGTCCGTACCTTTTTCTCATGTAGGTCCACAATTTGCCACACCAAGAGAATTATTTCCCTTTCATCCGAACCCAGTTTACCCCCATTTGCACCAGCTGTTGCCCCAAAGAACACCACCAGAGTATCACTGTGCGAAGCCATCAGGGACCACAAGGGTAAAAACTACAATTAAAAGCAAAGATCAAATAAAACAACGCGAGCTTTCACCTTTTTTCCAAGTGATAAGAGAAACAAACAAAAGGTCAGGAAACTCAACTGAAGCAAACGAAGGAAAAAGAAGATTTTGCTTTTCAAAGAGGACACGAAAGAATGCAACCAGAGACTCTACCTGTTCCAGTACTCGTGCGGTACTCTTTCCAGAGTTACTGGTCTAACTGGTAAAAGAGGGTGGGAAAAATCCGGGTTTCTTTCACGCTTACACCATAACAAGCTTTTTTTTTCTTTCTTTTTTTTCAAAGTTACCTGCACTGGTTGAGCCTCCTTAATAGGAGTCAATCTCCCAGGGGAGACCGTGCATTGGCTGCTTCCTGAAGGTAAAGGAGGGACATGGCGGCTCCGGCACCTATCCTGCTCGGCCTGATTGCTCTTTTATCCTCCTAGGAAGTAGCAAAGCGCCCATTTCTTTTTTTTAAACAACACACGCAGCTTTTGCATTAAAGGTGTAGGTGCGGAAGAGGAGAGTAACTGAGCGCAGCAGCCCGTCTGCCGTTTCCTGCGTTTCTTAGTGGCGCCAGTGACCCTCCGGCAGGCCCGTCCGCAGGCCATAATATGAAACCAAGTTTTAATAAGACTAGTCCGTTTGGATGCAGTAACGTTTTACAGTTGGGAGAAGTACCAGTCGATTTTGGTGATACCGATTTTATTTATTTGTATTCAAACGTAAAATGAATTTGCCAACTCACGCATCTAGCGTGACTCTCACGCTCACGCTATAAGTCTTACGGCAAATCTATATTATTCCATTATACACCTAAAATTAGCTACAGCAAAAGCTTTGGAGTATTGTAATTTGCAAACCCTACAGAATATTTACAAGGTAGTAAAATTGTTACATACATGTAAATGCGTGTGCAGACTTGTCTCGAATTGAAAATCTCAGGCCAGCCTGCTGACCAAAGTGAATTTGAAGGGTAAATGTATCGTTGTGACAATAACAAGTCACCTTCTGACCCTGAATCCGTAATTTGCTAAGGGTCTCAGTCTGGTGTAGGAGAGTAATATTAATGGGCTTCCCTCTGTTGACTGCTGGTGTTGAAAGCAGGTTGTATGTTAATGCTTGGAAGCCCTACAGGTGAGTCCAGTAGTGTGTTTCCCTTTCAGTGGCTCCAGCACAAAGTCCTGCGGTAGATATATGGAAGATGGGGCTGAGTAACAGTCCTTGAAGCCTCACTGAGAAAATCTGGCCTGTGGGGAGGTGTTCTGCCTTTGGTGTGGGAAACTGTTGGATGAGTTTCACAGTATGGGGGCCTCAGGAACGTGATTAATTCCAATTAGTGTTGGAAGAGATTGGCAATTCATTCAGGGTGCTTTCTGGGATAGGCCTGTGAACTACCATAATGCCTTAGGGACTGAGCGATTGGAAGATGGATGGATGGACAGTATTTATACATTAGGTGTTATTTCCTGTATGAATAGCAGGTGCCATTTTACACCTTTAACAGAAAGCAAAGGAATGATGGCACTGATGAATGAAATGCATTCATAGCAGGTTGTGCAGAAAGACAAATTCCTGTGATTTTGCACATTGCAAAACAGATCAGACTCACTGGGCGGAGTCTTCAGACGTTTTTCTACCAATGTGTACCCTTGCAAAGTGTACGTGCACATATGCTAATGAGGTCACACGGCGTCTCACTGTGGGATGAGGAAGACATGATGATGAAGGCCTGCACTGCCATTCTGCTGCTGGCAAAAATAAAAATTCAGCAGAAATGGACACGCACTTGGCGAGTGTGAAGTGAAAGGACACAGACTGCGTTGTTGCACAAGGGACCCTTGGCATTTGTGTTTTGATTTGAGGTAAAGGAAAGAGCAGAAGCTGGAGGTCAGCGGTCTGAGTTTCCATCAGAAATGTCGTCTGAATTATCCTTTCGCATGCAATATGACTCTTCTCCTTTTTATTCTCTGCTTGTTTTCAGTTTCATTGGCTGATAATAATAGCATAGAGTATTCTGTTTTTTGACCTTCCAAGCTGTATATGAAAATCACAATAAACAAAGTTTAAAAAATAGAATAAAAAAAAAATGTGGCCATCAGTAACGACAAGGATTCAAAGTAAGTTGTTTATTGACGTTCGCACATTTCAGCGACAATTAAATTAATCTTTACAAATAGAACTCCTGCAAAGACTCCTTCCAGTTAGATGTATGAAGAACAACGCAAGATCTATCCATCCATTTTCTATACCTGCTTGTCCTATGCAGGGTCACAGGGGTCCGGAGCCTATAGCGGATAAACAGCCGCAAAGCAGGGAATAACCCAGAATAGGGCACCATCCCATCATAGGGCAACATACAAACACCAAGCAAGATCATAGAAAAACAAGTAAAATTAACTCTGGTGGCAAAGGTGTGTTTCTGCACTATAAAAAAAAATCATGCACTAACAAAACAGACTAATGTATGTTTTTTTTTCTTTCTTCATTTTAATTTTTAATTTTGAATATCAAAGACTGCATTTTCCCTCTCTAGCCTGTATCTTAATAATGAGGCAGATGAATAGTTTCCCATGGGCCTCAAACTTAATTTTATCCAAGCACATCACTATGTAGTGGCTAGAAAAGTAAGGGAGTGTGGCTTTGTTTTCATGAATAATTTAAAGCATGTGAACCAGGAGGCATGGAGCAGTGAATGGTGCTACCCCTCTGAAAAGGGGGAACTTTCAGTCCTGTCGGCCAGGCATTTTTGCATTAGTGATGGTCATGGGGAGGCAGGAGTTGACATCACAGTACACCTTCCAGCCTGGTGAGGGTTGCAGGGTCTGAAGCCTCTCTCAGGCAGCCAATGGCAGGCAAGAGCAGTTCTTCCCAATCCAGTCCTTGGGGGACCCACAGCCGGTCCACATTTTTGCTCCCTCCGAGCTCCCTGTCAGACAGTCTACATCTTTACTAGGGAGCTGGGAGGGAACAAAAACGTGGACCACATTGGGAAATACTGGTCTATAGAAGCTGACACAGAGAGATAATGCACAGACTTAGACAATACAAGTGGGAAATACATCCCCAACCTACCGAACCAACACGATGCTCGCTATTCATATTTTGAGAGACTGCGCCTCATGTGGAGATTAAAAAAGTGATTTAAATATCGTTTCAGTGACTTGGAAAAATAATATATAAAACTAACAACCAGCCCATAAACTCCGTCTCGCCTCTGCTCAGCTTGCTAGCCATACACAAGTTTAAACAGATACATAAACATTATTAAGTTGTATTATGTAATTCCTCACCCTGTGAACCAGTAAATCTGCATTTGGTGATGTTGTACTATGGTGTGGGTTCAGCGTGTTTCCAGGCCTGACCGGTTGTATTCAGTCTTCTATTTGCCGTTTGACAGGTATGTTTTAAGCTCAAATGATAACTGCTTAGGACAATATTTGTGGTCTTGAAATCAGCTGATAACATCTCAGAGGACTTTTGCCGCAGTAATTTCTTATGTTTTGGTTGGCATGTCGTCATCAGCTAATTTTAGCACCATTAGCCAATGTGATACCAGTGTTTGTATGTATAAAAAACAGCTGAAGAGGAACCAGCGTTTGTCCATTTGATGCTCTTGTGCAACAGCTTCCTCTTTCAAGGGTATTATGCATGGTCAAGACTTGTAGAAGATGTGGCTGCATTCTGCATGAAAGGCCAGTAGAATCAGGCATTCACTTCAGTCCTGGCTAGCTGCTGGAAATATACCAGAGAAGCAATAATCAGTGGTTAGCATGTAAGCAAGTGATTGGCACTGTTGTATTAACAATCCAAACTGGCCCAGTATAAGCTTCTTTAGTAGTTACCATTGGGTTCCTCCATGTGGTTATTGATGTCATACTGGGTGGTGTGTGGCTTAGTGGGTTATGATGCTGTGCCAATGATTGGAAGGTTGCTGGTAAAAATCCTGTCATCAGCAGAATGATTTAACCACTGGACCCTTGAGAAGGTCCCTTAACCCTAGTTGTTCCAGGGACTGGTTAGTCCTGCTTTCTAAAATTAATGTTGCTTTGAATAAAGGTGTCTGCCAGATATGTATAATTTGTCCCATGGTGGGTTTTGAAACCTTGTCCCTCTCACTGCTGCTAGTAAGTACTTGGGAGGCATTGTGGAAACAGGCAAGATCCCTGGCTGTACTGTGGCATCCTTGGCCAGCGGGGAGGAGTATAGCACCATTGGTTGGTGAAACAGCTTTACATTCAAACTAGCATGCTTTATTTTTGTCATTTGAACAAGGTACATTGGAGTGCTTCTCTTTGTCGACCTCATCTTGCTCTACACGGGTTGGAGGTCAAAGCACAGGGTCGGCTAATGTGCCCTGGAGCTGGGGGTTAAGGGCCTTGCTCAAGGGCCCCAGGGCATGTGACTGTTCTGCTGAGGCCGGAGCTCGAACCATAGGCACAGAGGCTTAGCCCTCTTACCTCCAAGCCCCCTGCAGTCTCCCTCTCACTATGACCAGTAAAACAAAAACGTAAAGTAGCTAAAGTAGGTGAATAGGTGCATTTTTACTATTGTTACATTTTATATGAATTTAGGTAATTTGCTAAATAACTTGGTTAATTAGTCAAACAATGATACAGTTTTTATCCCTGAATTTTGTGAAATGGAAACATACATGTGACCAGACAATACTTCCCTCAAGGCTTTCACATGTAAGCAGATTTTTCAGAAGATGTCATATTGAAAATACAGAGAAAACTGAATTGAGGAAATTCTGGACTCAAAGTCTGTGAATTTCTGAGAAAATAAACTTTAAAAATTGGACCAATGGGGCATTCACTGTCTTATTACTTAACTGTGAGTACTCTGTCATTACTTAACTGTGAGTACGCCTCCGTGATGTAAATTAGCCAAACAGTTATAGGCACAGACTTCCTTCCAAAATTGTATCCCAGAGCAGAGTGTGAAACAATATCCCTTCTTGGCTGCAGGAATCAGCTGAACCCTGCCAAGAAGCTCAGCTCCAAAGACAAGTCCACCTGTCTCCACCCGGCACCATGTGAAGATGGAAACACAGACAGCTTTCATTGTTCAGACTACTACACATTTGTTTTCCATAGAGTAACATAAAATGTTTGCATATTCAAATGTTAATTGAAGTCAAATTTTTGTAACAATATTTTCCTGCAATATTCCCTGTAAACATGCAAACATTTCAGTTCTGTATTTTGTTCTTTTGTATTTTGCTATTGCGTAAATATGACTTATAATAGTCATTTCCTGTTTCATAGTAAATGAAAAAAGAAGTACATACTCTAAACTGTATTAATGCATCAATAAGCATTGATAGCTGATAATCATTTAGCTGAATCAAAAATATAATGATAAGTAATTACTTATACATTAACGTAATTTCTTTGGATTGATTTAGGTTTGTATTGAGAGTGCACGGGCAGTGTTGTGCATGTTCAGACTTTTACAAATGGGGGATTCATTACAGTGTTGGGTTATACATGGTTTGTGGATCCTTCCTGTCTTTATGTTGATTTCTTTTCCAAGTCCATAGGTGTGTTATTTAGGTGAATTGGTATCCTTAAATTCCCCGTAGGGTGTACATGTCTTGTGATTTGTCTTGGCATCCTGCCCTGTGCCTTTTGTGTAGGTTTTAGAATCACTGTATTTACGCTGCTGTGCTCTGCCTGTACATTGCAGTTCCACTCATCCATTCCAGGTCTTCGCAGTTCCAATTTGCTGCAGTCCAGTCCTCCTACTCCATTCCAGATCCTCCCTCCATGTCTCTGCTTGCAGTTTTTACCTTCTGCCAGTTCAAAAGCTCGCCGTACCTGCAAGAACCCAGCTCTGCTCACTTTCATTGTATTGGATATTCTTTGGATTTATTGTATTCTTGATAATTGACTTTGGCTTCTGTTTCTGCTTTCCAATATGTGTTTGTTCCCTTTCAGTACCTCTGTCTCAGTTTTTTTGTTGATGGCTTGTTTTTTGGATTTTCTTTTTGATTATTGACCGCGACTTTCCCCTTGAACTGTCGCTCCAGTTTATTTGTACATTCGTCTGATGTGTAAGGAGTGACTGTCGTTTTGTGTGTACATGTTTTTGCTGGTTGTCGGATAGACAGGAATTTAGGGAAGCTCATTGCCTTTTTGTTTCCTTTTCTTTTTCTTTGGGGAGGGAGCAAGGCAACTGGGGTTTTGACAAAGTTAGTCTAGGTTTGTTTGTTATTTTGGCTAAGGTCACTCCTGCGTCCTGTTTCAGAAAGCAGAATTTCTTGCTTAGCCAGTGATTTAAGATGATGTGAGGGGGATGTAGGGCTTTCGAAGGAACAAACAGACACACTTGAGTTCGCTTCTAAAAACGCTTTATTACAGGTAATACAAAATAACCTTGCAGTAAAATCAATACCAAAATATTGGATTAAAGGCAATGCAAAATCAAAAGTGATATCCAATAGTATTATAAATCATAAGCAATATTCAAACTGCCAATACAACTGATTATATGTATATATATAAAAGTGACAATAAAACATGCAAACATAGAAAGTACCATTTAATATTATTGTTATTGTGATTCTCGTACAATGATAATTAATCCCAATAATGATTGAATCAGTACACAGACACTGCAAAGCTATTCACACTCGGACGTGCCATCATCACCCACCTTCACTCTTAGACTGGGGAGCCTGTTTCAGTCCTGGTAGGAGATCAACACGTGAGTCCCGAGAAAGTGCCGGGCGATGCGCGCTCTATCCCACGGCTGAGCTCCAACCAACACTAAGATCTCCCCCTTCCTTTCTACTAATTTTGGGCATTATGTGCGGGCAGGGGATGAGCTGGCCAGGCTCACCCCTCCCCTCAGGCAAGGCGTTCTCAAATTTCCAACCTTGGACACTGTATCTGAATTTCAGGATGATTAGTCCACACACAGTCAGAATCAATCCACACCTCAGTCACCTCATATGTATGTCTGCTAGGTGGAGTTGGAGTTACTCCACCAAATCGTGAGTAGTGAAGCCGGACAATTACAACCTCCCAAATCATCACAGTGAGAGGGAGACATTCAACATATTTCTATATGTTCTATATATATATAGTTCTATGCTACAGGGGCGACGTGGCCATTTGCGGGGCCACCTGTCAGTTCATCTTAATACAGCCAGATAACTTGTCACATTTAAGGTAGTTTGGCAATATGTAAGTGAAAGAAGATAAAGTCCATTTAAACTGGGGTCTTAAATCCAACAAGTTATCTGACTAAGCAAGAGATCCTGCTTTCTGAAACAGGGCCCTGAAGTCTAGCAGTATTGTTGTATTGTTGTCCATTTGCTGTGTGTGTATTGTTACCACTACTCAGTAATATTCCCTCAATTTACCATCTTTTTGTCTGCCTTCTGATCCTTTCACCCATTGACACCATTCTGTTCCAGCCCATTCCTGGATCAGACTCTGTTTTTTTTTTTTTTTTTAAATACATTTTCGGGTAACTGTACAAAATCTAACACAACAAAACTTGAAATTATAAACACCATATATATAGTAGGAATTCAAAGTTATATGTTAATTCCTATCTATTTTTATATGCTGATTATTTTGCAAATATTATGGCATTTAATGGGACTGATTTGTTTTTAAAATGGTCTGCAGTTTTCCTTGTGTTAGCATGAAGAACAGTGGATGAAATGGATAAATGAAACAACAGAGCAAAACCCATGACTTACATTCTTGTTTGTTCATTATGGAGAATATTCTATATTATAGCCAAGTTGGTGCTGTCTGGTGATTTTGTATGGGTTGTCGCCATATCCTTAAACAACTTCACCAAATTTGACTTCATCAGGCTACCTTGGAATCTTCGAGCAACAAAAGTATAGAGAACAGGGTTCAGTGAGCTGTTGATGAATACAAGGGCCCCAGAGATTAACGAAAACACATGGTAGAAGCTCTCATCAGGTTCCTTCACATCTAGGTTATTGAACAAATGGATGGTGTTGGTTAAGTGGTATGGGAACCAGCATATGGCAAAGGCAACGACAATACAGATGATCACAGTGGAAGACTTGCATTTCTGCTGCAGGTTCATCTGACGGAGATGACTGGCTACTTGGCAATAACAGATTCCAAGGACTAAGAAAGGGATGACAAAGTTTATCACAGTCTCCAGTAGAAAACATACCACCTCTTGGCTCAGGGAGCTGTATGTCTGGAAAAGACACTGTGGTATTCCGTCCATCATATCCACATGGTATGTTGTAATTGAAGGGATTGCAAATAGGAAGCCTAGGACCCAGATGCCAGCAAGCAACTTCACCAATATCGCTGTCCTCTTCTGACTCATCAGGCTGAATGGATAGCGAATGGCCACATAGCGCTCCACGCTCATGGTGGTGATGAGGAAGACGCTGGTGTACATACAGGAGCAGACCACATAGACCACAGCTTTGCAGGCTACTGGGCCGAAGATCCAGGATTGAGCCAGGGAGTAGATCCAGAAGGGCAGCGTGATCACAACCAGCAGGTCCGCGACAGCCAGATGGAAGATGAGGACCACAGTGAAAGAGCGCAACTTCACATGCTGCATGATGGTCCAGATCACCAGCAGGTTTCCTGGAGCCCCCAACAGAAATGCCAGGCCCAGGATTCCACTGGCAGCCATGCCTGATATATTCCACTCAGAAGCTGTGCTGCTGTTGCTCATGATGCTCCCAGGTTCTGGTTGTTGGTTCAACCACTGCCAAGAAGTATGCTTAAAGTTTCTTCCTCATGCAAGTAATGTTAAGGCTCACTTTTACTTCTCCATTCTTCTATGACGAAACTTATTAAACTATAACAGTGACTCTGGAGTCCTTATTGCAAAACAAACAAAATCCTGCAATACAGTATGTGACTTAAGAGGATGTGGACTGAGACGCATATCCCACAAAGCCCATGTGGTGGTCCAGGTCACCTCCCACCGACTGAAACTGCTGATGTCAACATAAATGCACAAATGATGGGATAAAAAATAAAGATTGTTCATTGTTTAATATAATAAATACTATGATCCATTTTCCAAACTGCTTATCCTTCTGGGTCGCGGGGGGGTCAGGAGCCTATCCTGGAAGCTACAGGCACGAGGCGGGGAACAACCCAGGATGGGGGGCCAGCCCATCACAGGGCACACTCACACACCATTCACTCACACATGCACACCTAAGGGCAATTTAGTAACTCCAATTAGCTTCAGCATGTCTTTGGACTGTGGGGGGGAAACCGGAGTACCCGGAGGAAACCCCACGACAACATGGGGAGAACATGCAAACTCCACACACATGTAACCCAGGCGGAGACTCGAACCCAGGTCCCAGAGGTGTGAGGTTGCACCACCGTGCCATAAATAATATAATAAGTAACATTGCTATATAATAAATATAACTGGCTGTCTTACGAAGCTGGGGGGTCCCATGATGGCTTCTGGCAACCAGTATGGGGCTGATAGCAAATCCAGCCCTAATCTGTAATCCTGATGGTATATTACAGAAACAGGGTAGTTTATTGAGGTTCTCAGTCTGATAACTAAAATTGAATAATTGAATTTGAAACCCTATGAATTCTCACCTGAAAAAAGTTAACTGCTCTTCATATTGACCATGGATGAGATGAACTTGGGACATTTCATGTAGCAGAAAAATAACTCTGTGTTTGCCATAACATTCCTGATAAAAATGTAAAAACTGGACGAGAGTGAGAATGTAAAAGAGTAAAAGCAGTCGAGAACAGGTTCTTCTGTAAGAAAAATTAATGGAAGATGAACCCAAATTCTTCCTGATGGAGTTAAAGGTCATGCATGATTTTCTGTTCGGCATTGACTGTAAAGTTGGATTAGTTGCATAATGTGAAATAAAGTTTCACAACATTTGCATCACGTGAATAAGGTTCCTTTAAACAGAGATTTATTTAATCCCGGGACATCTCCTTCCAAACAAGGATGCATCCATATCAGATAGAATAGTACTAGGGATGTATAATAATTTACAGGACACATTAATGCAGAAAAGAGGAAAAAAAACATATTTTAAGCATAGTCACTGGGGTGGTTTGAGTGGCTCCATTTAGAGATATAGGAATAGGTAGAACATAAATGTACTGGTAGGGAATTTTGAAGCTATCTTAAATGTATGCTTTTGTACGATTGAGATATATTCTGTGTATACAATACACTAGAATGAAAATATTTTACTTCACTGTACAGTGCACACAGTACATCTTTTTTAGGCTTAATCTTTTAAATATAACCATCCAAACAAAATGTACAACAAAACAAGGATAGATCCTGTGGTTGACAACGACTGTCTGGTTTTGTTTTTAATTTAAGATAAAGTTTGACCTCCTAACAGAAGGTGGCAGTAACGCTTGTTTGTTGAAGGGTTCAAAGCAAAACCAGAGTAAGAAAAACTGAGGAAAAAAGACGGCCTAGAACTAAACATAACGTCTTGTTTCTACGTTGTATTTCAAGTTATTATTTCATGAATGCATTGAGATCTCACTCAGTTACAAAACCACATACGATCTGCGGATGCCAGTATAAGAAGTCTGTAAGGAAACAAAATTTAATTGATGAACGTATTTTAAGAACTAGACGGCGAAAAAAACAAACAGATTCTCAAAGCTTGCGTTGCCTCAGACCCATTTTGCCATCACATCCGGGGAAAAGACGCGTAACGTCAGCACGACCGGAAGAAGAGGAAGACGGTAGAAACACCGAAAAACGGAGCGTGTACGCGGAGTCGCTCCTAAAAATAAAGCGCTCGGAGAGGGTTCTGGCCAGCGGGCGACGCTCGTATACAAAATAGCAGCAGCCAGCTAGTGGATATCCGATACAGATAACAACAGCAAATGTCGGCGTGTTTGTTTTATGCGTTGGTTAAGTTGTGCGTCTTGGCTTTAATCGGATCGCAAACTAGCCGATCTAATTTAATTGCGGTGTGGACGCGCCGCTAAAGCAGTCAGTTACTGCTGAAATATGGTAGCAAGGTTTTGACAGCTGGAAAAGATATTTAGACCTAGGGGAAGCCTTGCGGTCGAGGGGAGGGGGGCGCTGGACGAAGTTTCCAGGCTGTAAACTCAGTGCCTTAAGAGACTTCGAGGTGTCGCGGAGCGACTTACGGTAATTTCGCTTGAATGTCAGCGAAGACATATGTATGAGGCCGACCATTGAGATCAAATTATTTTATGAAGTAAATGACAAAACGTAGTTGATAGTGGCGATCGGAAAATAGTTTTTTTAGAGAGTGGGCCAACCTCGACGGGGGTTGCTGTTGAGCTCTGACCCTAATCTCTGAAATTAATTATCCGCAGTAAACAGACATCTAGATATCTGCTTGTATTGGGATTTAATTTTAGTATTTCGTAAGGGGGAGTTTGGAACAATTTAAGTCACTTCGTCAGCCTGTTGATATTACGCGCTGCGATGCCCCTGCTGTTCTTGGAGAGGTTCCCGTGGCCCAGTTTGAGGACCTATACGGGCATAAGCACCGTTTTGTTGGCTGGGAGTATCCTCAGCGTGTATAGGACCGTGACCGAGCCGGGTTTCGACACTTCCGAGGCCAGCGACCCTAACTTTATCCCAGATGAGGAGCGCGATCGCCGCCTCCATGACCCTGAGACCGGGGTTGCTTCAAAGGTGTTTTGGCACCTCGTTTACGACAGCTGCTTCATTTGGGTGAGAAACCGCCGAATGTCCAGCTGTGTTTGAAGTTTTCCTGCTGCCCGGCATAAGGGAAATGCTTCCTCTTGTCCGTGTCAAAGAAAGTGGGATTTATGTCTCCTCCACGCAGGTGCTGGTAAACACAGCTTGTTGCCTCCTGATGCTGATCGCAAAGATGATCCAGTGCTTGGTGTTTGGGCCCCTGAGAGTTAGTGAAAAACAGGTAAGGGTGAGAGGAACTGTTTAACTCCAAAATTAACGGAAGTACCCAGTCACTAAGTATAACAAGATCTGAAACTTAAGCCAGAAGAATGGATTACTATTCAAGAGTTAAGAGTTTTTGTTTAAATTTTAAATCTTGAATTTTTGTTGTGTTGCAATGCAGTTACTGCAGATCAATCCATCATTGCATCATGATATTTCAGTTTTCACCCAGTCTATGACAGATTTTTGTTTAACTTTACGATAAGGTTTTCAGCCTCATCAAAGGGTGGTCAGGGTTGCTGAAGGGTTTCAGATGGGTAGTTGCCTTCGGAAGGGCAAGACATGTAACAGACTCTTCAGAACTCAAATCCCGCGATGGATTCCTAATTGGGTCTTTCACATCGACATCGTCTCATCTTTAACTTCTCCTCAGTTATTCTCTTTGCAGTGCTCCTCAGAGATATTGCTGATTTTAATGCCTAGTAATATAATGTGTAGTTCAGATGCACTCCTTTGCTTTATCCTGATTAATATACAGTAGATAGTGTTTTCTTCAGTTTTTTTAAGAAAGAGGGGGGGCAGACTCTTTGAAGGAAGTCGTATTTGCTCATGATTGCTCTTTCCCTTGGTCAGCACCTGAAGGACAAATTCTGGAACTTCATCTTCTACAAGTTCATCTTTATTTTCGGCGTTCTGAACGTGCAGACTGTGAACGAGGTGGTCGTTTGGTTCCTGTGGTTTGCCGCTTTGGTCTTCCTGCACCTCATGGTCCAGCTTTGCAAAGACCGCTTTGAATATGTAAGTGCAGCATATAGGATGCGCCAGTGAGGAACTGGACTGTGACTAAAGACCCAGTTTTGGTCACTTCAGTACAGAAATTTTCCAGTGGTACGATTTAAGAAGTTATCTGAAAAGCGCAGGCAGAATTTTTACATTTTATTTAACAGTTGTTTTTATCCAAAGTGACATGTTTTTTGAGAAAGCATATGATCAGATATTTGCAGGTTCATATCAAATAACATATGTAATGGCAACTTGCATTTTCCTTACTGATTGTCTCTATCATACAAAACTTTTCTCAGTATGTTATTGGAAAGTAACCTAGTGACTGTTAGCTGGAGGGTGTGTTTGATATGCATGCTTCAAATGGCCTTTGACATTATCAACTTTGTCCTGGTCAACTGTCATGAAGTAGAATTACAACCCCATTTCCACATAAGTTGGGACATGGTGTAAAATGTAAATAAAAACAGAATGGAATGATATAAAAATTATATAATCCCATACTGACGTTATGAAAATAGAACAAAAACAACATATCAAATGTTGAAATGGAGAAATTTGGTTTTATTACATATATGCTCAATTTGAATTTGATCCCAGCAACACATTTCAAAAAAGTTGGGACAGGGGCCTGTTTATCACTGTGTTGCATCACCTCTTCATTTAACAAGACTCTGCAAACGTTTGGGAACTGAGGGGACCAGTTGCTGGAGTTTTGAAAGTGAAATGTTGCCCCATTCTTGCCTGATATAGGATTTCAACTGCTCAACAGTTCAGGGTCTCCTTTGTATTTTTCGTTTCATAATGTGCCAAATGTCTTCAATGGGTGACAGGTCTGGACTACAGGCAGGCCAGTCTAGCACCCGGAATCTTCTGCTATGGAGCCGTGCTGTTGTAATACATGCAGAATGTGGTTTGGCATTGTCTTGTTGAAATATACAAGGCCTCTTCTGAAAAAGACGTTGTCCGTATGGCAGCATATATTGCTCCGGAACCTGTATATATCGTTCAGCATTGATGGTGCCTTTTCAGATGTGCGATATCCGTGCCATGGGCACTAATGCACCCCCATACCATCCTGGATGCTGGCTTTTAAACTGTCCATTGATAACAAGCTGGATGGATGTTACCTCTCCTCTTAAGCCCCAGGGCATCCAGCGTCCATGATTTCCAAAAAGAAATTTTGATTTCTCAGCTGGTTCTCCATTTTGCCTCAGTCCATCTTTAAATGAGCTCGGGCCTAGAGAAGTAGCCGGTGTTTCTGGATCATGTTTAGATATGGTTTCTTCTTTGCACGTTTGGAGTTTTTTCCTGCATTTATGGATGCAGTGCTGAACTATGTTCAGACATTGATTCTCAGAAATGTTCCTGAGCCCAGGCAGTGATTTCCTCTATAGAATCCTGTCTATTCTTTAATGCAGTGCCACTCACAACCCGAAGATCACTGCTTTCCAATATTGTTTTTTGGTCTTGTTACTGGATTTTCGGAATGTTTTAATGACATTATGTACCGTAGATGGTGAAATCCCCAAATTCTTTGCATTTCTTTTCGTTGATGAACATTATTCTTCAATTGTTGCACTATATGCCCAAGCACTCTTTCATAAAGTGCTGAACGTCTCCCCATCTTCACTGCACAGAGACTCTGCCTCTCTGGGAGGCTCTTTTTATACCCAGTTTTCTTACTGACCAATTAACCTAATTAGTTATGAGATATTCAACCGGGTGTTTTGTTTTAGCATCACACAACTTTTCCAGTCTGGTGTTGCCCCCCTGTCCCAGCTTTTTTGAACTGTGTTGCTGGCATCAAATTCAAATTGAGCATATATTTGTCATAAAACAGTAACATTTCTCAGTTTCAACATTTGAAATGTTGTCTCTGTTCTATTTTCAATTAAATATGTATGTATATGATTTGCAAATCATCACATTCTGTTTTTATTTCCATTTTACACAGCTTTTTTGTGGGGTTGTAGTGCAACAGGTCCCGCATGCTGTCCAGTGTGGGCGACCTTTAAAGCCCTTCCTCAAGCCCCCTGTCCTATCTTTTGCCGAGTGCTAATTATAGACACGTGAACATGCTGAATTCAGCCTTTCTGCTCTGCAGGTGGGCTTCTCCTGTGATGTTAAAGCGGTGGACTCCCCACTCCTGTCGTTTGATTGCTGCTGTCTGTTTATCGTAGTTCGTTTGTAGCGTGTTAAGGGTGTTAATGTGGGAATGTGCATTTCTGTGCAGAAACGGGTGTTTGTCATGGGCCTGCTGAGGTCCAGATTGCTTTGCTCTGTCTATTATCTGCCATGAAACGACTTGTGACGCCTCCTGCCGTCTGTTTCTTTCGTCTGTAATGCACAGCTGTCCTTCTCCCCCACCACTCCCATGCACAGCCACGCACGCGTGCTCTCCCTGCTGGTAGTCATGCTGCTGTGTGGTTGCGGACTGGCCTTGCTGTGCGTGCTGGTGCAGCCCCTGCTGGTGCAGAACGGGCTGGCGCAGCCCTCGCAGGGAATGCACACCATGTCCTTCATGGCTGCTGAGGTAGGAGTTTGCCCTCCTGTGGTCCCCCCCTTTTTAAACAGTATTGAGTTTGGTCAGATTGAAGCTTTGGTTTATTCAGGCCGGAATGGGTGTTTTGTGGACTCGTGTAGCTTTGTGGATTACAGTGTGTATTAGTGTGATCTGCACATTCAGCTTCTTTCCTGGTTGTTTCTGTCTTTCTCCCCAGTGCTTGCTGGTCATCGTGCGCACCGCCCATGTTATTATGAGGTATGCACCCTAGGAAATCCTCAGGCCTTTTACAACATGAGTACAGTTTACAACTGCTAGATGCTAGAGCCCACAATGTACTGCGCAGGGTCCGGAATGCATTCATCAATTCCAATCCAAATCAGGAAATGTAACTGGAGTTGGGATTGGAAACCAAAAAGTATGGGGAGCAGAACTGGAATTGAATTAGAATTTCAGGGAGATTTAAATTCCAGCTCCAGTTCTATTTCCTGATTTGAATGGGAATTGATGAATTCATTCCGGAATGCATACTGGTACTGGGGCATTTCTCTCTACCCCCTGGAAGTCCGCCTTGTGGATTGTGGCTAATAGGATTACTGTAATGTAGCCTTAAATTAACATGGTCATTTATAGAAGGAGCAGAACAAAACACTATTGTTATATTGAAAAGGTATTTGTGCTGACTAAATCTATCTAAATTTGTTTTGCAAGGTTGAAAAAATGATGGAAACAGAGTGTTTTTTGCTTGAAGTGAGTCCCAGACTGTTCCTTAGGTACTCCTTCCACCTGTGGGACCTGAACCATGAGGGAACGTGGGAGGCCAAAGGAACCTATGTGTACTACACAGACTTCATCATGGAGCTGACGCTCCTGTCCCTGGACTTGATGCACCATATCCACATGCTGGTCAGTACCCCCCCCCATGTTCTCATGCTGGGAGAAGGCTGCTCAAACTGGCACGCCTGGCGTTCTCACCACATCTGCCCTGTTCACCGCTCCCTCAGCTCTTTGGCAACATCTGGCTCTCCATGGCCAGCCTGGTGATCTTCATGCAGCTCCGCTACCTCTTCCATGAAGTCCAGCGGCGTATCCGGCGCCACAAGAACTACCTGCGTGTTATTGACAACATGGAGTCCAGGTGGGAGGGGTCCCTTCTGGTCCATCTCTGCGAGGCCTGTTTTCTTTCCGCTGTGCTTGACCATCAGGTCCGCTGACTGCTTCTGCTGCGTCTGGCAGGTTTGCAGTGGCCACACCTGAAGAACTAGCTACCAACAATGATGACTGCGCCATTTGCTGGGACTCCATGCAAACGGCTCGCAAACTGCCGTGTGGTCACCTCTTTCACAAGTCAGTGCCTAATTCCGCCAACTCACTCCTTATGTTTCTCACTGTGTTGACGCTATCATGTCATTATTTTCCAATCCCTGACTGAACAGCAGAGAAATTCCAGATTAGATGGACTAGCGTAAGTTTTGACATCTGTGTCTGTGTGTCCTTGCTCAGCTCCTGCCTGCGCTCCTGGCTGGAACAGGACATCTCATGTCCCACCTGCCGCATGTCCCTGAACATCAGTGAGGGCAGCAGAGCTCGCGATGACCAGCAGAGGGAAGCCCTGGATGACAACATAGGTCCTGCCCCTGGACCAGAGGCACGTCCTCATCTCAACCATCACAACCATTTCTTCCACTTTGATGGTAATAGCCCCGTCCTCAGCTTTTGGATAAACTGTCGAAATTTGGTCAGTGCTTCAGATTAACAATGGTATTGAAGCACGTCATACATGACTTTCTATAGGTTCACGCATCGCTAGTTGGCTGCCCAGTTTTTCTGTGGAGGTCATGCACACCACCAACCTCATGGGGATGGTGCAGGCCAACAACTCCCAGCTAAATGCCATGGTGAGCAGCCATCAGCAGGCTATTCTCGCTCCAGCTCTTGTCCTGTTTGGCCTACCTCCAGTGGCCTAACATGAGGTGTCTTGTACCTGCACAGGCCCATCAGATCCAGGAGATGTTCCCTCAGGTTCCGTACCACCTGGTGCTGCAGGATCTGCAGGTGACGCGCTCTGTGGAGATCACGACTGATAACATCCTGGAGGGACGCATCCAGGTGCCGTTCCCAACACAGGTGAGCCCAGCACTGTTCATGTCCTGCCAGCCTTTGGTCTAAGTCCAGTCCTGCTTGAAAGCCTGAAGCAAGTAGTCGGCCCCATTTTTTTCACATTGCAGTGGTAAGTGGAAACTCTCTCATGTGCTCCAAACAGGCTAGTGAGCGCACACCCCTTCAGGCTGGTCCTGGACCATTCCCCTCGTCTACCCTGGAGGAGCAGGCCGGAGCCACCGGGGGCGAGGAGGCTGCGCCCGGCGAAGCAGAGGACCCGGAGGTCCAGGGTAGTCGCTTCTCCAAGTCGGCAGAAGAGAGACAGAGGATGCTGCTGCAGAGGAAGGAGGCCCTTGTGCAGCAGGCACGCAGGTAGGGGCCACAGCGGCCTTCCCAGTACAGTCTCCTTCCCAGTACAGTCTCCTTCCCAGTACAGTCTCCTTCCCAGTAAGGTTGGGATGCCGTGTAAAATGTAAATAAAAACCGAATGCAATGATGTACAAATCATATAAACCCATGTTTCAGTAAAAATGGAACAAAGACAGCATATCAAATGTTGAAACTGTGAAAGTCTGTGACTGTGACTCTTTATGCTCAACTGGTTGGTTGAAACAAAATGTTGGTCTGGACTTTTACTCTCTGGACCTGAATTACCCAGCTCTGTCTGTGACTGTTTGTCACTGTATTTTACTATATTGCAGTGCTTCAGGTGGTGAAATTAGTTTGCCGTATTTCCAGTTTTAGCTGGCACAAGTGTTCAGTAGAATTTACAGTGTACAGCACTGCTTGGTCTCTTGTGTGTCAGACTTTAAGCTGAAAAGTACCACCACACCATTGATGTCTGTTTACCTTCTTTGTCCCTAACATCTCCTTTTTGAAGAGCTGTTGTGGCTGCTGCGTTTCTTCTAAGGAAGCACTCATCCCTCCATATTGCTGAAACAATAGCGTGTGGCCTGCTCTGCTAATTCAGTCCACCCTGCTGTATGGTTGTCGGGTGTATTTTGTCCACCTTTAAAATACTCTCCTATGATTTGTTGGAATTGCGTTCATTTCTGCGATGTAATAGGCTGTTGCGCACGATCAAACATTGTTCCTTATTGATCATTTGTTGAAGTTTCTCCTTTTCTTATTGTCAAAATATTATATACGACGATGTCCGTATCGTTTATATCGTCCAGTCCTACTGTATGCATATGCAGCATAGCTCACTCCCTGGTGCGCCACAAGCAGTTATGGCTCTATCCTGCAGTAGCGCTCGCTCCCTAGTACGCCCCCTGCAGGGACAGCTCTGTACTGCAATAGTCACTGCACCTTAACATGCTGCTGGATAGGTTAGTCCTGTGAAATTTTTAAATGTTGCAGAATTGCGTGTTTCCTCCTAGACGTTATCTCAGCAAGACCCCTGAGGAAGACTACGATGAAGACAGCCTTCCCTCCTTGGAGGAAGATGACGGCCCCAGCCCGGACGCCATGACACAGCGGCGAAGGATGCTGGCTGCAGCAGCTGAGCGTCGGATGCAGCAGCAGCAGGAGCAGCAGTGAGCAGCAGTGAGCAGCAGTGAGCAGCAGTGAGCTGGGTCTCTCCGCAGTCTCCCCCAAATCCAGCAGCTCTCTCCTTTCACCAACCATCCCAGGGCCCCCTGAGCTTCATCCTGGAAGCCTGGAAGGAAGAAAAACTGCTCTTCTGTCTTGACATTGTGATTAATAAAACACAGGCGCAAGACTGCATTACGGGCATAGTGTGGCACTGCTTTGCTGTGCTGTTTTAAGTTGCCTTAGTGAGAAAAGGACCCTCTATAGGGTACCTGACAACGTCTTAGATACTAAAGCTTTAACCATGCTCATTTCACAAGTGTGTCGGGGTTTCGTAATCAACCAAACCTCCTCAACCCACTTCAGTTATGAGCTGTGACGTGATGACACATTTCACCCACACTTTCCTATGGGAAAATTCTGACATGAGGAAGCTTTCTGTGTGTGGTGGAGTCAGACTGTTGTGCACCTACAGTCATTTCTGTTATGCTTTTGTTGTGTCGTGTTAACAGGGCAAGATTCATCTGTGCAAGACATTCATGTTTAATGTTTTTATCATAAGGTGTGAAGGTAATGCCAGACCTGCCTCTCTTTTTTATTTTATTTTATTTAAAATTTTCACTTTTAATTAAGAATACTGGGCTGGTGTTAAGTGCTATGAAAGTGAAATTTAATTTCTCATAAAAAAACCATAGGGGTGAGTCTTATTAAAGTTTTACATCTGTTTTTTATGAGGGTAAGTTACAGTGCAGATCGTTTAACTTCTGTAAAGTGTGCAAAAATTACCCTTAATGTCAATTTAGTATGCAAGAGATTTTTAGGAAATAAACGGTTCCAGTACTGACTGCAGAGAGTGGACTTGGTGTCTGCATAGCGCAGGGGTTTCCGACCTTGTTGACAGTGAGAGCTACTACAAAGAAAATAACCTGTTGAGTTGCTCATTCTTGGCGCCTGGGGTGGGGAGAGGGTCTTCCCCACTGGCCTAGAGGGTACAGTATTGCTCCAGGCTTACAGGAGGGCAGTTTGAGATCAGATTTGTATTGTCTTCTGCTTGTCGTTACTCATGTTTTAGTTCACTGATGGCAGTAGTCTTTGTTTTACATTATTACAGCGTAGCTGCGTGTTGCAGTGCTGTGCATCCAGTGAGGGTGTTGCAGCAGTCTTAAAATCTTTTAAATCTGCCTGGATTAAATTTACGTCATTTCCCCCTCAGGCAAATCAGTTCTGAGATCCGCTTGATTCTGCAAGAATGCAAAGTTGGTGAATTGTGTTCTGTATCAAGCCGGTTACTGATCAGTATCTAAAATGTTCAGTCAGTCAGTCCAGAAACATATATGTCGAGGCTACAGCTGCTGGTTAGTGCTTTTAAGATTTACATTGAAAGTAAAATTTAATTCAGTTCACACTACACGGAGCAGTATTTTCAGTCCTCACTCACTCACTTTTTACTCTTGATTTAATGAATTAGCGGAACTCGAGTATTAGAGAGTACCATAAATGATATGTGAAAGGAAGGACATCCATTAGTATTTCTTGTTAATCCATATCACTTTTATCATATTTGATCATTTTGTCTTGGATAAATCTACCTGCAACAGGTTTTACACAGTATTTTTTAAAAATCTGACCTGTTGTAACAATTGTTTGTTCATTTTATGTAGCGTAAGTTACCTCATGCTGCAAGGTGTTGCGTATGGATACAGTTTTATTGACTAGAAAACGGATGCCGTGTAATAAAATGGAGTTTTCGAGCATGTAGCATATTAGATTCAAATCTTCTGCGTCCTGTGATACTGGGGTTTTTGTGTAAAATTATCTTTTTGATTGTTGAGCCCAGTAAATGTGCTTTCATTATGTTAGGTATGCCTAGTGGAGTCTTTTATGAAGTAACCCTTATGGGTAATAAGTTTAAGGCCCTTTCATTCTTTCTTTCTTTTATAATGCTCAAGGGGCTTTGGAATGTAATTTTGAGGCAGCACTAACACTATCAGGGAATTGACGTTGTTTGGCTCTGCTCTCAGTGCTCCTGGCTCTTAGGACAGTAAACGAAGAGCTGTGATTTACTTTGTCTCCATCTTCTCCAGATCTGACCACTCGTTGTGGACCCAGAAAGGAAAGGCAAACTCTTCTATAGCATATTTACTTTCCAAAGAGCATTTAGTTCAGTAACCTCTGAATTTTAAAACTGCTAGTTCTTTGTAACTTAATCTGTATATATAAAAGCATTACTCATGGCTGTTCTTAAACAGGTCATGATTCCTTTGCATTTAGTTTGCACAATCAGATCTAGGAAAGATTTTTCTAGAAATTGCTACTGATGTTATCATAGTTTGTTGGGCCCATGAAATATACTCAATGATTATTTAGATTTCTTTGTATACAATGGGGATTTATGCCTAAATTAAAGCATGGGTTAGTGAATGACATTTTGTAAATATTTTTTAAATAATTAATGTAAAGTTGACCTGGTAAGAAATAAAAAGCATAACTGCTATTAACAAAACGAAGACTGTTGCCCTCTCAATGTAAAGATTGCTTTTTTTAAACAAAATATATTCCCTTCGGGCAAGTTAATGTCTGTGGCTGTGATCAGAAGGTTGTGGTGTGAGGCCAGTCCTCACTGCAATAGTCAGATCTACGTTGGGCTATTGAGCAAGGGCAGTGCTTGAAGTGGGCCAGTATTCACTGGTATGCAGTACT